CAATAAGATAATTTCATGCAGTGATGAGAGCTCTGAAACAGAAACGTGATGGAAGAGGTGACAGAGGGATAATCAGGCAAGGCCTTCCTGGAGAGAGGGCATTTGGGTTTACATCTAAATTATAAGACTTCAGGAAATGGAAATGGGTTTCTTGCTTTTCTTTTCTCTTTTTCTAAATAATTTATAATGGTCATTTTAACATTCACAATTACTCTACCTAGAAGTTTCTACTAACAATTGTTCTTCAGTGTGTTTTCTTCAATCAGATATGATTCATTCTATTAGTTTGCAAATATGGCCACCATTAAGTATACAAGTGAATAAACAATATTTCTTACCTATTTTTATGTGGTTTAAGTAACCCTTTGATGTTGCTAATACAGTTACTCCCATTTTATAGATTAAGAAACTGAGGCACAGAAAGGCATGTAGTTGTCCCAAGATTCACAGCTAGTAAATAAAGCATCTGAGACTAGAACTCATGTACTGTGGCTATGCTGTTAACCAGGTACCACAGCCATCCAAACAAAGCTGACTAAATAAATATTCTGATATTCCTAATTTAGAGCTCCTCAACTTGTAAGAATATTGTTATCTTAAACTTCACCAAATTAAAATAGTAAATGCTGCTATGTTCCTTGCCACTGTGGGGTTTGAATTTGTGTCACAAATCTTACAGACAGTGACCACTTTATCCTGGGCACTCTACAAGATTCCAGTAACAGCCACCACATAAATGTTGATGCCACGTGGTATTGTAGGAACCAAACATTCAGGCTTTCCTTGGGTATGGATAAGTAAGTCTTATTCAGAATACAAAATAAATATGCATATTCTATAAACATTTTGAACACTCTCTGCAATAACATGTTCTAATAATCCTGCATTGACTCATTGTGGTGACCACATAAGCATCCATATTCTCACAAACAACATATTTGACATTTTCTCTGGAGTTATTCAGTTATTCCAGTACTCTAGTTACTAGCTCTCAGGCTGCTTTGTCCACTTAAAAAAAATCCTGGAACATTCTACTGTTTCCAGGATCCTAGCACCTCTCCTAAAATTCTCTAAGAATTCTCAGAAATCAGACAGTGACACTGGGATTTCAGCTCCAAGGTCTTCAGAAGGTCACCACTTTGACACAATTTGTGGAGCCATGTTTCCATTCTAACACCAAGAAGAAAATTTGGATTCTAAGTCACCTAAACCATTATTCAAGAAAGAGTCCCCTTTTACTTTGTTAATTATAAGATATATATGTGCGCGCGCACACACACACACACACACCAGGAAACTACTTTGAAATTGGAAGGTATCTGGAACAGCATTTGGGTTTGCCATGCAACCATATTCAGTGATAACAGGAGCTACAGATAAAACGCAGTTTTTTCTTAAACAGAGCTTCACATTAGATATTCAAAACATTAATTTGGAGGTGAGCAGATTCATAACAGACATATTACTCAGATCATCTAATATATACATTAAATTCGACTTCCAATCCTGATTTTAATTAACATTTATGCAAAGGCATATATAGTGAACTATGCTTTATTTTCCAAAGCATTCATAGACATAAAATGTCCCATGAGATTTCTTAGAAAAGGATTTTCCTCGTATAAAATTTTAGGATGGTGTCATTTAATCATCCTACTTACCAAATCTCTAGCTGACAAAAGCCATGTACTAGTCATAATTTCATGTGTTCTTCTAAAAAAAGGTAGTAAGAATCATTTTTTCCCAGTGCTTGTTCCAGCGCTCTCTGTTCCTCTAAGGATAGCTTTATTGTTTAATCTTTGGTTTTACAGGAACATTTTCAGATTTAATCTACAGTTTTCACACTGAAGAACCTGATAAAAGGAAATTTGTAACCAGCTCAGTGCTTAAGATATAAAGATTTATTCAAAGCACCAAACCTTTCAGAATTTTATGCTGTAAAGTGGGAAGGATTTTTAAAGTCTGAACTTGATGTCAAAGTAGTACACTGATCCCTCCTAGGAATTTCTCTGGTTAAAGCAATGCCTTTTCAGAAGTGCAGGGGACAGCAGGGCCAGTGGAGGAAGTCAAGTTGGGCAAGGAAACAGTGGAATCCAGACTCGTGCGCTTATGAAAGGAAAGGTCTGGCAAGCCTGGAGAGGATTGAAGGAGTTTAGCGTGAGGTCAGTGGGTTAAGTCTGACTGAGTCTGTAGAGTGGGATGGGAGGGGCACATAGAGGCCTCAGATGAGTAGAAATGCACTGAAACAGAGACAGATGATTTAAAAAAAACAAAATCGAATGAAAGAAAAGAGGAATTAACATGTTTCTAACAAGAGATTTGGGGCCAGGAAGGGATAGAGTGTATTATATGAATAAAGCCAGGTTCAGAGAAGGATTAGAAGAAAATATCACCCAGTAGTAAGGGTGATATTTTTATTTTTCTAAATTATGTTTCTCATTATTCAAAATCCCTTAAAATATCAGGTATACTGTTATCACTAAGGCTTGTAGTCACAGCTCTTCCTCAGAGCATTTCTCAGAATTCCAGGGTGCACACATCTAGCCTCCACTAACTTCAGGCAGATGCCCAGGGGTCTTTACTGGACCAGTATCTATTAGTGCTTCTCCCAGATATGAACAAGTGTAGTCACCAGGCTCCACGGCTTGAAGGTGCCAACATCCCCAAGAATGGGAGCCTAGTGGCAATTTGACTTGAGCCTACTCCAATTTTCTACTAAGTCACATTTGCAGAAGGTTAAAAAGCTCTGCAGCTCCGTAATAATCTCTTCACACACTAAATGCCCTAGTTAGTGAAATTCTCTTTCTTACCAGGAAGTACCTATCCTCTATAATTCAACTATTCAGTTGTTAATGGTTATTCCTCTGGATCTGACCTGTATGGCAAAGTGCACAGTGCACTAGAAAATCGACTACTCAGGTGGGAATACACAGAATAGTGATTCTTGCTATCGTGCACAGTATGGCAGAGCAGTTGGGCTGCACCTATGAGGTGCAGCAGTTGGCTTCGAACCCTGCCTCTGCCCCTTACTGCCTAAAGGCCCTGGGAAAGCTTTTGAACATCTTTCAACCTATTTACTCATCTGTGATATATAGATAATAAAAAATCTTTCTTCATAGGGTTATTATGAGGAGTTGATCTAGGTAAATTGCTTGGCACAATACCCAGAGGTTAATATTGTTCAAACACATTGAATCAGGATTGCGTTCTTCATCAGTGTGTGTGGGAATCTAATTGCCCAACATATCTTTTTCAAATACCACAGTTACTTTGAGGGAAACATTTTACATTGAAAAAATTTAGGGGCTTTTGGGATTTTTCATGCCAGAATCAGTCCACTAGGGTTGCAGAGATCAGCCCCTTCCTTCAGCAAGAAGGAAACCAGTAAGAACAAACAATCACGGCACAAATATACTTTTTTGCAATTACCCAAGGAAAAGGGGGCACCTCTTGACAATTTTGTTTGGGAATTTAAGATATCACAGTGTGGCTGGCAAAATAAGGAGCCATATAGCTGCAAGAATTTCTATCTTGCACACTATTCCTTCACTGGAAATTTCCTCCATCAGATAATATGCTGTGATAGCAAATCTTTTCCTTCATTTACTGAAATTATTCTGTAGAGGAGCTCCAAGGAAATCTTAGCCTTTGGGACAATCCAATGGATTCCTATGAAATACTCAACTCACCACATGGTAAAGAGCTTAACTGTACCCTTCAATAAACTTATTGACCATGCTAAGAAATAGCAATACTTTGCCCACAGATTCTATGGCTGATTCCCTTGTGCCTACTAAATGTGAAAGTAAAATAATGAATTGAAAGCTAGATTATCATTCTTCAAACAGAAAGCAACAATAAAATTAAAAAATAATTGATAGGTTTCTACCCCCACAGACTACCTGAATCAAGGTGCATTGACATTACCCAAATTGTCATATTCAAGAAGAAACTAGAGCCTACAGGGATTATGGACAGTAACTACTGAGACAAAGGCAGAGAACTTCCATTAACATAATTTGGAAGTGAAGAACTGTGGCGAGGATTAGAAGCATAGTTTTCTCAGAACAAATGGCTTGATTTGAGAAATACAGACTTGTATAACATCTGAGACCTCCAAGTTTTATTTCCAGAATTCTAAATCTCTGTATCATGAGAAAGGAGAGCTAGAACTTGTAAAAGATGAGAAAATCACAGAGTGGCCACTGCTTGAGATTGTTTGTGGTGTAGGCAGCTTCTAGAAAGGAAACAGAGTCCCAAACTCACTTTTGGTCGGTAAGTATTGTGAAGACAAAACTATTTTCTACTTTTTAGTTTTTTTCCTTTAAATTAATCTCTTTTGCATTCCATCTTTAGAGTCTTTCACTCTTAAATAGTGGCTTTTTAAGTCAATCAACTCTAGTTCACTGATAAAGGCAAGCAGGCAAGATGAAAGGTATTCACTGAATCTTTCAAGAGGCAGTACCTGGATGTGTGGATCACAAATTCAATCTCCTCTGAAATTCATGTTGAAAAAAAAAAAGTGTCATTTAGAGTCTAGGTTAGCTTGAGAAAGAGTTTATACCAAGGATAAGGATGTTCATTTACCATTTTTTTGTTTCTCAGTAATCCATTCTTAGGAAGGAAAATGACAAATAGCAAAAATTTATTTCACATGCTCCAGTATCATTCCTGTTTCTGGAACAATCAGTGCATCTGGAAGCCACACCAGGTGGTGACATATTGTTGTCCAAACATTGCTTTGGAAAGCAGGAAGATGAGACATAGGAGAAGTTGTGTGAGCACTCCAGTTGCCCTCAGCAACCTGAGCAGCACGTGGCAACCCCCCTTGGCTTGGCTGTCAGGTTGCCTTCCTCTGGGGAAGAACGATCATCCACCTGGTAAATGGCGTTAATGCAGTAAAGCCAATATAAACACTGATGTTTTGTCTTCTGACAGCATATGAATGTGCAAGCATTAAGTTATAGGAGAAAAGGGGCTAATTTTAGATTTGTTCCTAGCCCTCTCCATGTGAATGGTGTCGCTGTGAGCCCAGCAATGAAGTTCACTGTGTTGTAGCAGACTGCGCAGTTCCTGAGTGTGTCAACCCAGTCTATGAACCAGAACAATGTTGTCCTGTCTGCAAAAATGGTAAGACCATACTGCGTTAGCTTTCAGGAGGGGTTGGTGCAAAATACTGCTATTCTGCCACTGCGCACCACTCTATGCAAGAGCCCTCTAAGATCTGCCTGTGGTTTTTCAATAATGGCATGGCCAATTTATATTTTTATCCCTCCTTAAAGTGAAAATAAACCAGCAATGGGTGAATCATGAATCTTTCCATCTGGGGAATTAAAGCTCTTATAAGCTGACTGTGTTGTGATCCCTATTATTATTTATCATTGATTCATAAGGAGGATATTGGAAAGATCACAGTACTCTCTTGTTGCACTGACTGAATTTCTCCCTTGTGGAGTCTATGAAGCAGTTCACTTCATTTCATAGTGCAAAGCCCGGGATAGAGAGTAGGATAAATGCCAGGTATTTTGCTTTGGGCATAGATCAGACTTTTGGTTTAAAGCTATCAGAGAAATACAAAATTCAATTATTGATGCACTTAACTTGAAAAAAGTAAGACTAAAAAGTTTAGGGCTTTTATTCTAAGTTTTCATTACAATACAATTGTATTCTCATAGTTGCTATAGAGGGGAACTTGGTTTATAAGATGGGTTCACAGGTTCTTTTTGGTTATAAGGAAATGGAGAGGTTGAAATGAATACAGCATGCAAATCACCAAAAATCAAGGTTGTGCTGCAGAGAAGACAGTGCAATGTCATTAACCCGGACAGCTTATCAGTAAAGCCAATATTATACTCTCCTACTGGTCATGCACTACCAAAAATAAAAGCTTCACCAAATAACATTCCATAAATGCCCCCTCTTCCCTGAAAAAGTGGTTCTAGCTTTTAATTAAGCTGCGGTCACTGTAATGCTAAATCCCTATGCCTTCCTTGGGTTAGCAGCTCATCTTCCTCTTTCACAAATTTTTTTGTCTTGAATTTGGCATCTTAGTTCACCTACTAATCTTTTCCTTTGCATAATTATACCTAATAAATAGACATATCAGGTTATGTAAAGAAAAAAAGCAGCTCTGTTTTTATAATAATTTTCTATTTTATTATCTTCCCAAAGGACTTATAAAGAACCCCTATGACATTTTTCCAGGCACAGTTTTTACTGTTTCTGATCATATAAATCCATTGAGTTGAATATTAAGCTCTCACCTGGCTTCTCGTTGTCTTCTCTCTCATCCAACTGAGCTGTATCACAGTGACCATCTCCCTTAGAAGGTGAAAATAAATACCCTCTGGAGGCCCTGACCTATCTATATATGCAAAGATAGCAAACCAAGACTTTCTATCTTTAAATATATTTTGAAGAAACTGGAAAAGACACAGAGAAGAACAATAGGATGACTTAATGGTTGAAAAATAGGACTTCTGAGGACAGTCTGAAGGAGTTAGTGTAATTTGTCCTGGAGAAGAGACGGCTCAAGGGAGACCTGACTGTCATTAAGTATATGAATGGTTAGTCTAAAGTGGAAGAGGACCTGTTATTTTTCATTTTCTCCAAGAACAGAAAGAAGAAAAAAAATCTACCTAATCAATCTTTAAAAATGGGATTGACAAGTCTTTGACTGAAGACAGTTTTTTTCTAGAAGCAGCTGTCTAAACAGGTCCTTGAGGATCCCTTCTTCCCTAGGTGGCCCTGATTGGCTTTGTTTCACATTTATAATGAGCAAAACTATGCTTAAAAACTCTCATCCAGACAAACTCAGAATACTCATAGAATTAAAGCATGCTAAACCATGTATTTAGAATACAAGGTTTTACACATTCATTTGCCACATCATTGTAGCTATCCAAGACTTATAGTGTATCGAAAGCCTATAGTATATCCAGTTAGTATCCACATCAAATGTTAAATCATCCACTACAAACTGCCCACATTTAATTTGATATCACCCAAGATTATCCTATTTCCTTCACATGCCAGAGGAGAAATTTATCTTCAAATGAAATCCTCTTTGTACAAAAATGTATAATAAATGCACTTTAGTTGTTCAATTAATTAATTAATAATCCATTAGTATTCCTGAAGAACATATGTTGAGAACAAGATATATTAGTTAAGTTTTTCAACTTTTTGTTCATGAAGTATTACAAAACCACATCGGTTTCCTTCTACTATTTCCAAGCAAACTTTTCTCTTTTTTAAATAAGGGAAATAAAACTGAATTAGAATTAGGAAAACTAACTTTGACTGTAATATAACATTATGACATTATTATTTTTTATTACTAAATGCCACTAATTAATCAGTTGTGCCCAAATGGTAAAGTATAATCATTGTCAAGGAAGAGCATATTAAGGGCCACTGGAGAATCCTTTTGATTACTAGTGTTACCAGTATTTTTACTGAGAGAACTGACTGGGCCCCAAGGCTTACTTTCTTTCTAAGGCTAACTCAGAAAACAGAAACAGATAACCCATGTGTAGAAGAACTGGGAGTGGAGGAAGGGGAATAGATGTCTATTATGACAGAATACAACGAGAACAATTTCTTAAATTTCCAACACACGATAAACATCTCATTATACATGACAAGATTAATTTACCCATATAGCATAGGCTTTTTTTTTTAAGTATGCTACTATTTTCTTAGATTCAAACAACAACAAGATAAAAATCCACCTATGGATTCAAGGTAGAGGCAATAGATGTTAATATATAAGCAGTTCTATGACATTTTCCACATTTTCTAAGATTTTTATAAATGTTGAACATTTTCAGTTTGCATAAATGCTGATTATCTTGGCTGCCAAACACTTTCCTTTTGGGTAGTAAGATTGATTTTTCTGACTTCCTGAATTATAACTTGCCAAGAGCAAGAAGCATTAAATAGATAAAGTGAAAATTTAAAGCAATAGAATCTACCACACCTAAACTTAAAAGCCAATATTCAGCTAATATCAGAATCTTTGTTCTCAGATTATTTAAGAACAAGCAAAACAAGGAAGTGCGATGATATATTGTAGTTTTTCCACTTAACAGTAGGCTGCAAATGTAACAATCATCTTTAGAAATAAGTATTTTTTAATATTATAAAGCACAATTTAAGTTAAACACCCTAGATAAACAATGATAGCCTCTCTTTATTCTCCATATATGACTTGTGAGAATAAATTTAAAACATATACTTCTAAAAGTTTTCTCCAATGATGTTAAAAAAAGAGAGAGAGAATTTTTAATATCCTGATCTCAGTGATTTCCTCAAGCAAGATTTCTAGTGGTTATCAGTGAAAACAGCCAAGCCATAAAATACACTCCATTCTTATTAAAGTTAGTTTAACCAAGAAGACTGTCAATGTAGTCTGAATAAAATAGAAACATTCAGGAAAGATGTGAATGGCTGGGTGTACACATATCAGGAAGAGAAAGAAGAATATCATTTTTTATTTAGGGAGGATTGGAGGGATTGCCATAGGAATTTACTGTTTTTTTAAATATTACTAAGCATTTGCTTCTCTCTCCTCTATCTATCTTCAAGAACAAGCAATCCAAATGCCTTCCTGAAAGATATGACATTTCCAGACTGCTTTTTTTTCCCTACAAAATTGTGTTACTTTGACTTATCTTTCAGCCCCAGTCCTTTCTCTGTGAATTAATGAATACTTTTATGTGTTTTTGTTTGTTTTTGTAACATGAAAAAATAAATTAACACACTGGATAAAGAAAAGATTCTAGTTTGGAGTGTCAAATATTTCAAATATTGGGAACCGACCACATATTTGATACATGAAATAGCTGGTCATTAGGGCATTCAAATGACTAACTGCATTTTTTTGCATTTTATCAGCCAGTATATCAGTGAGTTCTACATTTTCCCTGGGATTTATAGTCCATCATTATTCATGGTTCTAAAGGAAAAATTGGAATAGACAGGAAACACCCACAAATCCTCCATACACATTAAGTGAGCAGTTTTCATATCCTTTCTAACTACACTGAAGTTGTCATAAGGCCTATTCAAATATTTAATACCATATCTTCTACTCTCTTCTAGTTTACAAGTGATACAAATAAGGCAGTACATAGATTAGCCAAAAGGGCAAGTGGAAAGGAAAAAGACACCAAAGGGGATGGGCAGTGCACAAATAGGAGAAAGGGGATTTCAGAGGCATCCAATGCCTACTAATGGTGCTTGGGAGAAAATGTTTGACATAGATAATTGTTAACATCCTTACTATAAATGAGAGAGAGAAAAATAATTCCACAGGAAGAAAATGGGCAAAAGGCATAAAAAATAATTTTACAGAAGAAAAACAAATTCTAATAAATATATGAAAATATACTTTATTCCAGAAGGGATTGGGGTGATAGAAATTAAAATGAGATCCCAATATTGTATTGACAATAATCTGTGCTTGATGATACCTCAAGTCAGAAAAGATATTAAGAAAAGAATTGAGAAAATCTTGGAACAACTTTTAAAAAGGTACTATCTATCAAAATATTCATGTAATTTGAAGTTAGCAGTTCTACCTGTTATACTTTGTCCTGCCTTCATGTACTAAATTTTTGCTGCATTTTAAGAGCAAAAAGATGGGAGAAAACATAATAGTCCTTCAGTGGAATAATGACCTATTTTATAGCATTTAAAAAGACCCTACTGACACTTGATATGTAAAATATATAATATAGTAATGGATCCTATAATAATTGCATAACATATGTATGCAACGCATACATTTTAAGTGGTTTGATTTCTAACTGATACACAATTTCAAATAGATATTAAATTTGCATATACATAGGAAAAGAACTCAGTGAATACATAACAGTAAATCAAAGATAATTCAGTGATTACTTCTATGAAGTAGAAGTAAAAATGTTAACAGGAGGGGAGATAAGAGCTAATCTCTTTACAACATTCAACCTTTATGGATTAATAATAATAAAAAAACAGAAAAGTACATAAACAATTTACGAACAAAAGACAATTGTTCATAAAATATAAAAACTATTCAGCACCACTGATAAATTAGACTTTTTGTTTTTTAAATCCTTCTTTGTTATTTTTTTATGTGGCATAGAGTATGTTCTGGAAGAATACACATCAAATTTATACAGTGATCAGAAGTTATTAAAGAGTATGAGGGAGAAAGTAGAAGCAGGCGACTTTTTAAATTCCAAGTTTACCTAATAATTGAGGAAAAACTTCAATTCAATAAAGACTTAAATATGAACTATTTTCCAAAAAGTACACAAAGAAAGCCTGGACAATTTGACTTACAATCTTGTAGTGGCTTGATTTTGAAAACAGAAACAAAAATCTCCACATAGCAAAAAAAAAAAAACCAAGAAAACCACTAGAAATAGATTGAAAATGATGGCAAGGAGATTCATTTTATATGCCGGAAAGTTCATCTCTCGTATATTTAAAGAGCTCTTAGAAACTAATAATAGAAATGATTAACAACTCCATTTAAAAAATGGACAAAGAACTTCAAAAGTCATTCCACAAAAAATGAAACAAATGCTCCTAAAACATATCAAATATTGCCGAAGCCACTTCGATAGAGGAAAAGGCAATGAAAATTTGATACCGTTCTCTACTTACAGATTGGCAAAAATCCTACAATTAACCACTATAAATAACCTACTTAGTTGTTATTGTGATAAAACAGCCAATCTTTAATATTGCTGGTAGATGTAAGTGGTATAACCCCTATGGAAGGAAATTTGACAATGTGTACCAAAATTAAAGTGCGTACATCTTTTACCTAGCAATTC